AGACAAATTATAGTGTTGTATAAAATTAAAATAGACATTTAAAAGAGAGAAAAAAGAAAAGAAAAGAAAAGAACAAGTGCAATGCATCCATATTGGAACCCAAAACTAAAAGTAACCAGAAAATAATAAAAACATGTATGTCGATTGCTATAATTACTGAGGGCACAATTAAATATTTACAACATCACTACATATGCTATTAATAAATCATATCAAGGGCATAAGGAGCCTCCCATATCACAAAAATGAGAAGAGTGGATCCCACCCCTCTTCTCTTTGGGATGTTAGAGAAATAATATTCTTAAAAGACATCGGAGATGTTAAACATTACACATTAATAAAACGCGAGTTTATGCACAATATCAAATTAATCTATGAATAAAGAACTTTTTTTATTGTGTAGCAGTAGTGCTTAACAACACTAGTGATGTCGGATTTTTTTCGCGTGCCCATCATATCAAGAAATAGCGAAGTTGGGGACGCCCCTAGCATTGCTCTTGTACTGTTGCGCATGTCACCGAATCGATTAGTTATGAAAGCAGATTGCTACGTGACTTATTATATATGATGCAATCATTACTTGTGTGGAAAATGCATCAAATCTACCTATTATGTGTGGACACGTGCCTAGAACTAATTACTCACATGTTTTTTTTTTTTTTTTTCCAAGGAAGTTAAAGTTCTACTATATCACATGTGCATTGATCACGACATATCATTGGTGGAGATGCCTGCTACGTACGCTTATCGTGCGCATAAAAATGCAGCCAACGGTAGCTAAATCCAATAATTGCATATTGTTATATGCCCCACATTTTATTGCTTAGACAAAATAATATAACCAAAATTATTTTGGAGCATTTCAAATCCAATGTAAAATTGGAGTGTTAATGTCAAGTTTTAGCTATTTAAAAAAAAAAATCATTATTAATGTAATTCTTTTTTGGCGTTAAATTTGACTAGGTTGGCACAAGTGGTTTTGACAGGTAGCAGGTTTGATGCACACTACAACTTACAACTAACGTTGTGTATGAGATCACTTTTTTTATTGGCAGGTATTTAAAAAGTTATCTTATCGATCATTTAATATTAAAAGATTGTTATATGTATACTTTATTCAAAAAAAAAAAGATTGCATATATCAATGAATAGATGATAACTCGCTGTCACGTGTGAAAGATATCAACAAACGGGGGTGAAATTAAAGATATGTTTATTTTTTGTATTCGTCTCTGATCTGAATCATGATTCATGATTTTCTATAGTGTTTTTCTCTCATAAAAAACACACGTAAAATGAGAATGATTCTGAATTATGATTCTAAATCTACGAACTAAACGTCCACTAAAATACGCACTACTCTACTAGGATGTTCTGGCAATTCCTTATATATATGCTAGTTGTCTTCTTTGTCGATTCAAAACTAAAAATTGCATGTAATTAAGTTGCTCATGGGCGGACACTGCCTTCCATTTCCCTAATGTCACGTGGAGCTAGCCAGGAAAGTCAATTGTTTATAACCTAACTCTTGATAAGTTAACATATTTATTGCATGGATCGATAACAATTTAAAAACAAACTAAACTGTAAAGCATAAATGAAAAGGAAAAATCTAATCCCAAACACTAACAACAACAAAGCACATAAACACGACCAATGTGTGATTGCTGATTAAAAAACCAGAACTTTCTAAGGTTGGTGTTTTTATACTTTAGGAATAAATATTTGAGTTTAGAGGAGTTTTTAGGTGGAAAAAGTCCTTGTTTGAATAGGCATAGAAGAAAATAATGAACTAGTGATATAGGAGGTTCCCCAAGTTTAGTCAAACACATGCCTTTTCTTTGTTAGTTTTAAGGTTAGAGATTCATTACGCTGCTTATGGGATAGCTTTTATTTGGTTGCTAGTTTATTTGTGTGCTTCATTGTCATATTTTGAATATGAACTTGTGTTCGAAATCTACTAACCTTTCATTCCGAAACAATAAACTGTAATCTTCTTGTTTTCTTTATTGCTGGTAAATTTAAATGCATGAACATTGTTGTGGAAAGATATATTGGATGTTTAGTGTCACTTTAATTTGTAGGAAATGGTAGGAACGGAAATTGATCACCCTTTGTTTTTATAACTTACTACCGATATTTTAACACTTTCTATCCAATATATTTTAGGAATTTAACTGAGGGACTAAATTTGTAACGTTAAAGGAGTTCAAAATTTAGGATGAAATAGTTTTTAATAGAGATGTCGATTCTAGAGAGAGAACAAAGTTAGGGCAAGAGGAAGAGGAAGAGGGAGAGAGAGAGAGAGTGTGGAAATGGGAGTGGGAGTGGGAGAGAAATGGAACATGACTAAGTAGAGAGAAGGTATGGGAAGGGGCAGACGTGATACAGCCAATTGGACAACCGTTTAAGAAACTTCGTTTTCCCTCAAGAAAAACGACATATGGTCAATCAATGTCGTTTTTCTTCTTTGACAAAAACATGTTGTTTGTTTGAGATACAAACGACTTAGTCCTTTCCTCACAAATAAAAAATACATGTCGTTTTTAAGTATAGTGGGTTTTTAGGCATTACAACTATTCTTTGACATGGCGTTTCATGTTTACTCTGTTATATTTTAACAACCAATTTCTTTTTTTTTTTTTTAAGGGAATAATCAATTCAGTTTCTGTTCAAGAGAAAAACTAATACATGTACTTTCATTCAATGTCGTTTTCCTTAGAAAAGGACGTAGCTTTTTGTGATACAAATGATAATATGTCACATACCTTTTCGGTAAAAGAAAAAAAAAAACGACATGCCGTTTATGTTGAGTATAGTTGTTTTTTTTTTTTTTCAATATAAACGACATAAACTTTTGAACTTTTATTTTTTGTTTTGGCAGTGTAGTTTTAACATAATGTGAAGTTTTAAAATAAATAGAAGCAGACCATTAATTTTTTATTTAAAAAAAGGAAATATATGTAAGGAAAAAGAAAAAGAAAAAGAAAAGGAAAGTTGTTGAGCATGTAATGCATGAGTACAGAAATAAAATAAAATTTGTGATGTCATGATCATGTCCGTATATGTACACATATCATGTGCAAGATTTTCAATTGCGCAAAAATATTTACAACGAAATTAAAGAAGTTCCTCGAAAAGTTTTCTTATCAAATACCAAGGATCCTCCATATCTTTTAATTTGATAGGGAAATTCCATAATCAAAAGGAGGTACTTCGGGAGAAAAAGAAAAAAGAAAAGAAAGACTTCGTAAAATCCGCTTGCTTCAATCATTAGAGAGAAAAAAAAAAAACACATTTTTCAAGTTTTATTTTCAAATAATTGAAAGGTAGGTCCTTGAAAATCTTTGAGATAGAAAAAGTAATAATAAAAAAGAAGTGCCGGACAAACGGTGATGGAGGAATAAGTTTTTGGGGCATTAGGCTTTTTAATAGAGCTCTTGTAACAAAGCAAGAATAGATGTTGATCGTCAAATCTAGTTCTCTAGTGGCTTGGGAAATATTCGGCCTTGTTTATTTTATGACTTAAATCTACAGTATTTTCTCTAATAAAAATTTAAATTCAATTTTTTTATTATAATATTTTTTTCTTACATATACAACTCAAGTTGTAACTTAAGTTGTGTAAATAAACATACTATTGATGTCTCAAAGCTATGTATTTTTTGAACTTCAGTTTTCTTTATGCCAAAAGTGGGGTGTGATCCGTCCTATACATGACATAGCATTTTGTGGGGGCAGGTTTTTAGTTAGGTGGTTTTTGATGGTGAATAGGAAATTGTGATAATGTATGGATTTCTCGTCCAAGTTCGCGACCGGGCCATGTCATGGAGGATTGTATCGTGGCCAAGTTCATTTGCAACTTCAATTGGAGTGGGCCACTAATAGATAAAAATAGTTGGAAGAAAGAAGAAAATAGATTAAGACTTGAGATGAATTAAAATTAATAGGTCAATAGTTTATATAAGTTAATAAATAGGTTAAATTACTGTTTTCGTCTATAATTTGTCTGGTTATGAACTATAACTTGATAAGTTTGTCCATAATTTATCTGGTTATGAATCATAACTTGATAAGTTATGACCTATTAATTTCTATAATTAAAAATTAGCCTATATACTTTCATAAAATTTTCATATTGGCTTATTTTCTTCTATTTTCAAAAATGTTTAGCCGCTAGAATTGGGATGTGATTTTAGGTTTAGCTTTGGGAATGAATAATAAATGGTGGAAAATTCTATGGCGTTTCCGCATTCCTAGTGAGGTGAAAGTACCGTGTGTGGAGACTTTTCATGATGGTATTAAGCTAGAGAGAGCTTGGGAAACAAACGTAGAGTTATGCCCATTTTTGTGGAAGATACAGGTCATGCATATGTATGGTAATCCCTTTATGCCCCGAAGAGAAATGGTAAGAAATACATATTTTTAAAATTAAATGAGGTAAATAGTAGGTTTTAAAATTATTTGAAGTAAATAGTAGTTTATTTATAATTAGTAAAAAGATTTTTTTTACGTAAATTTTCTATTTATGACTTGCAAAAATATTTGTTTCCACTAAATATAGATTAGTAAATTATTTTTTACTAATTATAAATGAATCATTTATATGATAAATTGTTGTTTATCATGTAAATGATTTTAAATATGCTATTTAGTTTTTTAAAATCTCATTCATTTTATCGATTTGAGTTTAAAATTTAAATTTTATTACAGTAAAAAATTTTAAAAAATAATTAAATCTAACTTTTTTACTATAATAAAAATATCTTACATATAAAATCACATATTAATTTAAATTAAAAATTTAAATGAATAAACGCCCTAAATATACTATTTACTACCGTCTCGGTGGCCCATAGCCCATTATAAGAATTTGGGCCGAGAGAAGAGAAAGCCCATTACCGTACGCTTTTGGGGGTCGAAAAGCTTACACGTAAGCATGGAAAATTCACCATCACTCGCTACTCTCGAGTCTAGAATCGTGTAGCTGTGACCGAGTGGCGACCAAGACCAAGAGAGATTACAGAAACAACTAAACAAAAAGGTTGTGTGATTACTTGCTTCTCCACGTCTACGGATAGAACACCGATTTCTGCCACGTCACCCTCTCTCTCTCTCTCTCTCTCTCTCTCTCTCTCTCTGCGTTTTCCCTCCCTTTCATGAATTTTCCTGCGAACCAAACAAGTTTTCTCTGCCGATTCTGTGTTTCACGTTTATGGCTGCCAAAATGAGCCATAACAGCTTTCTATCACCCAGGTTCTCACTTTAGTCATTTCTCATTTCACTCCTTTTATTTTATTTCATTTTTTATGCTGTCGCAACTGTATTGTTTATTTTTAGTCGAGTTATCTGAATCTTTGAAATGGATAGAGATTTAGGGCGTTTAACAGTTTTTAATTTGATTTGAGACTTGAGTTTTTAATTTGAGTTAAAATGTGATTTATATAAATATTTTTTATTATAGTAAAAAAAGTTAGATTTGATTATTTTTTTAGAGTTTTTTACTATAGTAAAACTCAAATTTTAAATTCGAAATGATGAAATGAACGGGTTTAGATTTTATGTTGTTGATGAAATTTTTAAATAGAAATTTTTTTTTATTTCTGGCTATAGAGATTGTTGCTGTTTCGCTGCTGAGAAACTAGAGAAAATGGAGGAAAGGATAAGAATTGATCATTCATTTGGATAAAATAGTTCGATTTTTATAGTTTAGTATTATTTCAGCTCAATGTTAGTGATCTTTACTTGCAGTTTACTCGTACGTCTTAAAATTGTTGAAATTATTTGTGGCATTGAGTGATTAGACTGAGGCGGAAATTAGGTTTGCGGTTTCCCTTATTGCAATGGAACTTTCCTACTCGGGTTCTAGAAACGAAAATTTGGTAGGAAAATTTTAGAAATTTAGGGTTTGGCATTGTAATTGAAAGTTTTAATGTTCATGTTAGTGATCTTTAACTTGGCATTGTAAGGAACATTTGTGCTTTTATATCTGCAGCTCTTCAAATCCAAGGCTTCCACTGAAGCCAAATAGAATGCATTATTCATGCAACAAAGTTTCTGACTTGGATCACCTGTTGAGTTGCTGGGGCAATTCAAGAAAGATATGCCTTATAAGATCTGTGTTGTCGGGAAAAAGCAATCATATTATTAAATTACGACCGATTGGATGTAGAAATCAGTATCTGACATTTAAAAGGTCGAGAAGAATGGGAAACCTCCTCCCTTTTTCTGCCGCCGATGATGGCGTTACGGTCAATGGGACTCCCCAAGCAACAACCAATAGTGATGTTGAGGACGTAAGGGAAAAACTAAACCGGTCGCTAAACAGCGACAGCGATGGTCTTGTTCAATTTCTGCATGAATCAGCAAGGGTTTTTGAGTTGGCAATTAAAGAACAAAACCCATTTTCGAAACTGACTTGGTTTTCTTCTGCTTGGCTTGGCATTGACAGAAATGCATGGGTGAAAGCACTTTCTTATCAGGTATTATCATAATTCATAAGCTTGTGCAAGTTTCTTTTTAAGACCTGTCATCTGTATGTTGTCTTATGGTTTAGCTTACTGATTGGTAGTTCGTATGTGTATATGGTAATATTTGATTAGATGTCATTATTCTTGCTATAGTGAATTGTTAGTTTTTTCATAAAAGTTTTGCTACCAAATACCCTTTTTGAAGCTCTGTTAAGGCTTATGATATTTTCAGGCTTCCACATATTCCTTACTGCAAGCTGCAAGCGAGATTGCATCCCGAGGTGATGGTAGAGATGGGGATGTAAATATTTTCGTTCAAAGGAGGTAGTAAATTTCTTTGTATTGAAAATAGTCGTACTTTAAGTACTTAAGTATTATGTGAAAACTAGTCGGATAATTGTCCATGCTTTTTCGAGAATACCAATGTGCTTTCATTGTGAATCCACTAATGGATTCGTGACTTGAGCAGAAATTTAAATACAACTAAGATTGAACCAGTTTAATGAATTAACAAGCTTTCTATCTTAAAGTTCTTTTCCTCCATGGGACACAACTTCTGTATATTCAATTTCATAATCAAATGCTGAGATCTTACAATCTTAGAGACAATTATCTTATTTTTGTAAAAACTAAAATGAGCCTTTTGCAATGAAGGGAATTATAATATGCGAAGTTGGTGTGGAGAATGATGAATAACATCTTATCATGTGTTTGTTGTTCCTGTCCGCCTTGGTTTTTTACATTCTGCATCCAGTATATTATTTTTCATGTGGCCTAGAGTTTTCAACGTAGTTAAATTTTGGACTGAGGCAGTTTAATACGGCAATCAGCTTGCCTTGAGAGCTCAATTAGGGATAAGATATCAACAAAGCAACCTGAAGCTTACGAGTGGTTTTGGTCTGAGCAAGTTCCAAGGGCGGTGACATCCTTTGTAAATTATATTGAAGGAGACCCAGGCTTTACTGCTGCAACCTCTCTGTATGTTATTAAATCCAGTCTAATGCCTATTTTTGTTATACCAAATTTATGCAGAACTAATGTTACTTTAAACTATAAACTGCCAGATCTCGGAATGGGCCATTTATTGAGTCGACTGATGTATCAATGCTTATGCTTGCGCTGACTTGCAATGCTGCAATTACAAAACTTGGTCCAGCAAAAGTCTCATGCTCACAATTTTTTACCACAATTCCAGATATAACTGGTAGATTGATGGACATGGTGGTTGATTTTATCCCTATACGCCAGGCTTATCATTCTTTGAAGGAAATTGGGCTTGGCCGAGAATTTCTTGTTCATTTTGGTCCCCGAGCAGTAGCATGTAGAATAAAAAACGATCGTGATTCAGAGGAGGTTGTTTTCTGGGTGGATCTTATCCAGAAACAGTTGCAGCGAGCTATAGATAGGGAGAAAATATGGTCCAGACTAACAACATCTGAAAGTATTGAGGTTAGTACTTAAGGCATCTAAATATTTTACTTTGAAAATGGGTACATATTGATTTGAAAATTCATACTCGACGATAGTATTAGTTTTATTACATCAGGTGTCAGAATAGTGTGACATGTTAATCTTAGGCTCATTGATCCTTGAAACTGGTACTTAACGGTAAGGCAAAGTACCTACTATAGAGATTTGGGAGTTACGATTTGCCACTTCCAATTTTGTTATCTATGCAAATTGATTTTAGCATAACGCTATTGTGTGTATCTTGTTTTATTAATGGTCAACTTTGTGGAATCTAGCGCATTGTAAGCCTAAATAAATGGTTAGTTGTGTATTCTGTAGGCCTGCCTATTTTGTTCATGTAGTTGCTTTGTTTTTGTTAGATAATACGTTACAGAAGTCAATGTTGATCTAACGCAGGTTTTGGAGAGAGATTTGGCCATATTTGGATTCTTTATTGCCTTGGGCAGACATACACAATCCTTTCTATCTTCAAATGGTTTTGATGTAACAGATCACCCGCTTGAAGGCTTTGTGAGGTGCAAATAGTTCTGTTTCCTTTTCATTTTGACGTTATTTAAGTAGTTTAGTCATTTTCTGGTATCATCTTTCTTTGTACAGGTTCCTCGTCGGCGGAAGTGTTTTGTATTATCCTCAGCTGTCATCAATAAGCTCTTATCAGTTATACGTAGAGGTCAGTATGTTTGGGCAGCATTATCTTATAGCTGTTTTTCATGGTTTATTTATGATATTTGAACTCTTTTGAATTCCATAGGTAGTTTGTGAAGAGTTGGATTGGCTTCCATTTTATCCAGGCAATGTTGGTACTCCTAAAGAGTCCCATGGCCATAGAAAAAAAGGAGAAAGTCCCCCCACCACTGAGGCGATACTGCAAGTATTAGATGTGTGCTCTCATTGGATGCAAAGTTTTATCAAGTACAGCACATGGCTGGACAACCCTTCTAATGTTAAGGCAGCAAAGTTCTTGTCAAGAGGGTAATTAAATCGGTGGTTCATTGGTTATTGTGCAATAAAGGGCTGCAGTTCAGTGATTTTGATAGAATATATTCTACTTTTTGATCTTTAGGCACAACAAGCTAATGGAGTGCATGGACGAACTGGGGATATTAAAGTAAGCTACTCAAAACCTTTATATTCCCTGTCTTAATTCTATGTCCTTTTAATCTGACCATGAAATGTGTTTAGATTGGTTCTTCTCTGAAAATAGTATTTCCAAAATAAAATGCAGTGATAAAAAGATGGAAAACAATATTGACTATTCTGTTGGGAGGATTGGTGGTGGATCTTATTCACCATCTGAGAAAGAGTCTGATTCCTTTGACAAGGTTGGTATCGTCACTCATCAATCAAGTTTATTCAAAGTGTGCATTCAAAATTTCCCATATGAATTTCTAAGTCAGCTATGACTTATAGTTTAGCAGTCCTAGACTCTTATTGTGTTTTTGCTGGATATTTCCAATGTTACCACCTCATTCTTCATATATTTAATATTTTTTAATAGGTTCATTGATTGGATATTAATTCAAATAGTTAGACTTGAAAAGTTCTGGTACCCTGGCTAATTCAATGAAATTTAATTGACACCATGGTATCGGTGGCTCATTTCCTTTCATATATATCCTCCGATTTCCAGAGATTCTATAAACTTAAAAGTCATGATTATTGATTAACTGAAGTATGGTGAACTTTAAGATAAAAACCATGTGACTTGCCCTATAGAATAGTAAAGTTCACTGTCTACCACGTTAACTACATTCCAGTGTCAGATTTTCCAAGTAAATTCTTTAAATCAATAAAGTGATTACTCTTGGGATGACTCTTGGGATGTAACTTATTTGATTTTGGACTTTGGTGTTCTAGTCTGCTAAATGATGATATTCTATTTCATATATGTGTGTGTGTGTGTGTGTGTGTATTTATATGAATACTATATAAAAAGTCTAGGACCCTTTGGGCTAATGGCATGGAAAGGTGGGTTGCGGAGGTCTTTGGGTGGGGGTTTGATCCCTCATGTAATCTTTATTAATATATATATATATATATATATATATACACGGATGCTTTAGTGTACAAGATTAGGGAAATTAAGAGTGTTATTGTTTAACCTTTAAAGGCAGTTTAATTGCCATTTGGTGTCAGGCATTGGAGAGTGTTGAAGAAGCTCTGACAAGACTTGAGAATTTGCTTCAATATTTGCACGTTTCAAGTTCTAACTCTGGAAAAGAGCATTTAAAGGCCGCTTGTTCTGACCTTGAGAAAATAAGAAAGCTTAAAAAGGAAGCTGAATTTCTGGAGGCATCCTTCAGAGCAAAAGCAGCTTCCCTTCAGCAGGTCTTCCTCATTCCTTGTTATTAATTTGCCGAGAATTTTGAACTTTATATTGACCACTAACACGTATTGATGGAGAGCGTGATGACAGAATTTGGACTTCTTTTAGGCATAAAAATGGAATCTAATTGCTCTAGAACTATCATAAGTTTTATCTATTATCTAGGATTCTAGTTGTTATTTGAATTTAAATATTATTTTTACTTGTAATTTTTGTCATGTATTTCGTAGTTGTGCTAAAATGCTTATGTATAAATAGTCTTGAGCAGAATTAATGTTTCAGACCTGATGAATTATTGAACAAACGTGTTCTTTTCTTCTCTATATAGAATTCTTCAACTCTCTTATCTCTTTCTCTGTCTTGGTTCTGCAACTTGGATGCTTTTTAAATGTTTCATGATTTTAATTAAAAGGGACTCCACGATGATGAATGTTTATCAGTGTTTTTGATGGTAGTAGAGTCATAACTACTCGCATCTTCATTGTATATTTAGTTCTTCGGAAACTAATGATGCTAAAAGTTGTATAGACTCATATGGCATTGATGCCTAAAATTTCATTATGATTTTCATTTCTTGATTAAGCTACCTACCCTATATTGCCATCAATTATTTATGCCAACCTATGCACCATAGTTGCGTTTCTCGCTCCCTTAATGGTTAGCTCCAAGTCCTCTATGTTGACATCTTTATGTACATATTATTTAGCATTCGTGATGCTTTTGAATTTAGTGGTTTCTTAATTATTTGCTCATGTTTGTTTCCTTCTTTTTTAATCTTATGGGGTTGACGATAATCATTCCCAGCCGTCTGCTAGTGAACAGCAACAGTTTCTAAACGGGAAGAAAAGAAAGAGTGGTAATTTCAAGTCAGATAGGAGTGACAGGTGTGACTAGTGAAACGATTTTTAGTTCTAGTCAGTGATGATTTATGTTATAAAAGCATCCTTTCCCTTCTTCGATTGGGATTACTGAAATTTAATGCTTTTATTGAAAATCTAATACTCTTTGTTTTAAACATTTTTCAGAGTTGGTGTTAAGAATCGTGGTGTATGGAGCCTCTTTATGCGTTTCCCAACTAGGAAGCCCATGCCTGATTTGATTTTAGATGATTCAGTATGCTCTGCACTCTCTCTTGTTTTATTTATGACTTCGATTGCTAATTAACAACTCGTTAATTTATTGTTTGATATTTTTGTTACATCTTCATGGTATGCATGGATTATTATTTTTCTCTCTGATTTCTTGTATGCAGGAAAATGAATTTGTTGAGCAGACTGCTTCAAGTTTAGCAGACTCAGAACTAAATGAATTCCATCGTTTTGAGCTTCTAAGAAATGAACTTATAGAACTTGAAAAACGGGTTCAAAGAAGTGCTGATCAGTCAGATAATGAGGAGGTAGATCTTGCACTGTTGATTAATAAATTTGTGTTCATCGTTGTAGATTTTCTTAGAAACCTTAAAGGCTAAAAGCAGTAGGAAGCGTGTGTATGAGAGAGATGGAAACAGAGGGTAGCATATGTTGGCATACAATGTTGCACAGACTAGTTTCTAATTGACATCAAGATTACTGAATACTTTTCACCGATTTCTATCTGCATTTTTGTTAGGACATCGAGCTTCCAAATGATAGTTCTATATACAGTGATGGTGCTGGAGCTACTCAATTGGTCCAGGTTGAGAAGAAAGAAAATATTATTGAAAAATCATTAGACAAGCTTAAAGAAGCTAGCACGGTATGATTTTGTTTTTGTTTTATTTTATTTCGCTTTCATTAGGCAGAAGATACTCTTTGATTGTTGCTACTATTGATGTTGTGGTATGGTACTCCAATGCATAATTCATCTGACAGGATGTCTGGCAAGGAACACAGCTTCTAGCCATTGACGTAGTTGCTTCAACGGGTTTGGTTAGAAGGGCCCTGATAGGAGATGAACTGACAGAGAAGGAAAAGAAGGCCCTGCGGAGAACTTTGACCGACTTAGCATCGGTTGTTCCCATTGGTGTTCTAATGCTTCTTCCTGTGAGATTCTTTTTAAAAAACTTTCTTGATCCTGATATTAACATATGAAGAATAAATCCTTGTCTCCCTCTTGTCTTGAATCGGGGTGATTATTGCATGTCTATTATAAGTAGAAAAATATTAAACGAGGTGGGGAGTAAGACATTCAACGATGGAAACTAATCTTTACTATATTCTGAAGTTTCATGGGTATCAAACTTCCACTTTTCTTTTGATAAATAACTTCCTCTTTACTGATGTGTCCACTAGTAAACTAAACTGGATCTTTATAAAGTAGACATGATTATCTCTTCTGAATTAGGCCCAGGCTAACTTAATAAATCTCAAGGAGGGGATATATTAGTCTGGTGGAAGTACTTTGTGCAAATAGTAATGGGTTCAGAAGGTGTCTAGCCAATGGATCATTCAGATGATTTTGAAGGGTTATTTTGAGGGGGGGGGGGGGGGGGG